AAGTGACACAGGCCAGGTAGAGTTGTCGAAGGGCATGACAGTGTAGCCCTCGAGTTGCAGAGGCAAGGTTCCGGATCCTACAGAGAGCCCCATGGGCTAGCTGCAGTCTCTTTTCCACATGTATCTTGAAATTGAGCTTCCTATCAAACCAGATACCTAACCATCTGACCACCTCCTTTGGCTCTATTGTAGCAAGGCCTTGTAGGTCAAAAGATGTTGTAGGCCTTTGATATTGACGTCCAAAATGAATCAGCTCGGATTTTTCCATCTCAAAATTCACTGAAAGCTTTCTGGCACCCTCCAATAGCTCTTCAGTAATTCCCTTCAATGTCCTTATATTTTTACTGATTGAAGTTGATGACACTGAAATGGCAATGTCATCCATATAGGACAGCTGGAGGAAGTTATCTTTCTGTATTGCAGGAAGGAGATTCCTGATAGAAAGCAGGAATAGCATTGGTGAAATTGGGCTGCCTTGAGGAGTTCCAGTCACTGGTAACACCTTGCTTAGTTGTCCATTAAAGTGTAGTTGTATGGTCCTTCCAGCAAGAAATGATTGGACCCATGATATAAGACCTTGGGGTAGCTGAAGTGACTGCATTGTTTTTATAAGTGCTGCTGGCTTTAGCCTATCAAAAGCTCCAAGAATGTCCAAGAAGATTGTTGATACCAGCCGCTTCCTGTTCATGTTTTGCTCTACAAATTCCTGTAGCAACAAAGCAGCATCAATGGCTGATCTCTGCTTGCGCCCTCCGAATTGACTAGGGTGTAGGAGGTCTGTTGTGTTAGCAATAAATGACAGTCTATTGGCATATATTCTCTCTAGCAATTTGGACAGGCAGGGTAGAAGAGAAATAGGTCTATAAGCTTTGGGTGCACTATAGTCCTTCTTATTCCTCTTCGGGATGATGATACCAACTGCCTGTTTCCATTGCTGAGGATGTTGTCCACTTTCAAGTAAGCATTTGTAAGCCCTAAAGAAGAAGTCCGGAGTAGTTGAGATTGCTTCTCTTATAATTGTCCAGTCCAAACAGTCAAGACCTGGGGCAGTCATTTTTTTGGGAGCTGCACTTATCATTTCATTAATTGTGAGTTCCGGCCAGTCCCATTGTCTCTCCATTTCTTTCATTGTTGTTGTACTGCCGGAGGTTGAAGGAATAAATTCCTGTGCCTCGGCTGAAAGGGATGAAGTTTGGAAACTTGGAAAAAGAGTCTGGGCCAGAGCCTCACTTTTATCCTCAAATTTTGTTGCTTTAGTAGTCTGAAATTGGTGTCCTGGTGTATAGACAAGAGTCGGACTTATTCTTGACTGGTGATTTTCAGGCCTGGAGTAGTTGTAGGAAGTGAAGATCATCTTGTCTTTAGCTGAGGCGAGAAAGTCTGTCCAGTGGAGGTGTTTGGTGTGCTGTATGTGTTGGAAATATTTGTTCCTAGCAGCTCTTGCCTTCTCTGATGTCTCATGATTGTTGTCCTTCTTCTCTCTGCGTCTCAGCCTGTGAAATATTTGTCGAAGTACAGCAAGGTCCTTGGTCCACCAAGGCTTTGATCTTGGTGTAATTTTGAACAGTGGAATTGACTCTTGTGCTGCAGTTTGCACTACCTCTTGTAATATGGAGGCAATATAATCTACATTAGTGCTCTTGATGGCCTCTTCCATTTGTTGTTGCATCAATCCTTGCTGTTGTAAAAGATGTGCCTTGAATAGATTCCAGTTGGCTTTTTTGACATTAAATCTGGTGGGTAGTAAGTTAGTATTTATGTTGCCATTCATCACCCCTCCTAGGTTAGAATCTATTAAACAGGTATCAAAAATTATCACTTCATGATCGGATCCAGTAGACTCTCCATATTTCCAGTTACCCCACCTAAGGTGTTTGAATCCTATGGCAAAGGTGAGGTCAATGATGGAGGTGCTTTTTGAATTGGATCTGTGAAATGTCCCTCCATACTGTTCAATGATTGATGGCGAGTTGAGGAGCTGGGCATTGGCATTATCCAAGTACTGGGCCAGCTTGTTGGCAAGAGGTGAACTGTTCCGGACAAGTGGATTCCAAGATGAATGATGCAGGTTGAAATCTCCAAGAAATAGCATAGGCTTGTCCAGTCTCAACTGTAGATCCAAGAAGCGTTCCACTGTGAGCTTAGTTGAGTAGTGGGAGGTTGGCTTCTCATTGTAGATGTGAACCACATAGAATGATTCACTTGATAGTTCTACCTCTAGAATTTGAAGGTCAGGGTCTGTCACCAAGTCATATCTAGGGGATACTTGAAGCTGGCTAGATTTCATGACATAGGTAAGGACCCTGGGCCGCAGATTGGAGTTGAAAATAGGTGGTATTAGATTAAAAGCTGAGTGGTTTATAGGTCGAAAAGAGAGTGTTGGTAGGTGATGGAACAGGTATGGTTCCTGCACAAAAATAAAGTCTGATTCCTCCTTGAGGGCTACCTCAAAGAGTGACTGCAGGATCTCGCGACCCCTTGCAGTATTATGTTGACTAAATTTGAGTGTATCTAGCATGTTAAAGCTTTATAGAATTCACAATCTAATCTTTGAAATGCCAGGTGGGTGTTTGACTTGCAGTTGGCACACTGAACTGCATGGTGGATGCAACTTTGGGATGCACTACAAGTGTTACACTTGTGGCTGTTGGTGTAATGTGGCCCAAGACAGATGGCACACACTGGAGATTTCTTACACCACATGGAGTGGTGGCCAAAAGTCAGGCACTTTCTGCACTGAGTCTTCTGAGTAGATTGTTGGTAGTTGACAACCTTTAGAAGTTGTCAACCAATGAGCACCCCAGTCTTGATGAGTCTCGTTTTTTGCTCCTCAGTCCTGACACAAAATGCCACTGAGGCCCTCATTAGCTTTGCAGGTGACTTTGTTAGCCATCTTGCATGGCCTTGTGTATTGATCCCATCATTATAGGTCTCGATTTCTTCATTTAATTGTTGAATGGGGATACAGGTTGCAACCCCATGTACCACCATTTTAGGCCAATTGCTAACCTTCTGGGCCTTCTGAATTGGCCATCCTGCAAAGACAACCTCCCATTTTTCCTGATCCAAAATTAGCTCTGTAGGGGAGGCATCCATGCAGCTCAGGACTAGGTTCCCCTTTGGTGAAGTATGGACTCTTGAAATAGCCCTTTTCCCAAGGATTTTGTTGATCCTCTCTCTGATAGTGAAAGCCTGGTATTCTGGCAGACTGCAGCCTGACCTGGTTACCAGGGTAATGACATTCTCATTGTCAATGATTGGTGCAGTTGTGGATGGTACTGCATTGGTGTTTGAAGAAGTACTGGCTTGAATGATTGGCCTAGTATTTGTGGCCATGGCTGTGATTGTGGTACTTGAAACAGCAGGTTTGCGGCTGAGTACCTTCATGGCTGGCCTGGTTGTGGCAACAACAGCTGGCTTTTCATTTGGGATACCTTCCCTGACCTTCTGTGCATATGAAGGTACTGCTGGAGCCACAGGTGGTGGTGGTGGTTGCTTGATAGTAGATGACTCTACTGGTTCAGGAGTTGAGACCTGGCATGGTGGTCTAGTGGTTATCACCTTCCCCTTCTCAGTAAAGCTTCGGAAAACCTCAATGAGGTCCAAGACTGCCACTTGTTTTTCTTTGTCTCCTGTAAGACTGTAAGCCTTAACTAATAAGTCACGTGCCTCGAAAATTGCTGTTTCAAAGGTGTGTTTGATGCTGTGTGGTGCAGCAATTTTGACCATTTTGGATGGCTGAGGGTTGGTGTGGTTGGTGGCTGAAATACCACGTTTCCGAGGCTGGTCAGCAAAAGGTGTTTTTACAAATAATTTTGTGGTTCCCAGATCAGTTGAAGTGATTGGGTCACTGCTGAAAATGTCGACTTTGGATGTCAAATTGACAGGTCGAACAGAGGAAAGTAGCCTTGCAGGCTTTGGTGATAAATCTGTATTCCAGATTGAAGATGTGAGCCTTGGCACATCTGACATGTCCATTTCTGGTGAGGATGGCAGACTTGGTAGGCTCCCTTCTGGTGAAGGAGATTTTGAGGCCATCTTGGCATTGATTTTGGCTGACATAATGAGCCAGAAAGCAAGGATTGAATAAAATTATGAAAAATATTTTTTGATGATTTTAAAAAGAATTGTTTTCGAAAAAAGTCACGTGATCCAAGGAGTTGGTCACGTGATAGCGCGTCGAGTCGCGTCGTCGCGTCACGCGTCGAGCCTTGGCAAGCCTGGGGTGAAAATTTTTCGTCCAGAGGGTCGAAAATGGGTTTTTGGCCGAAGAATAATGCAATAGGTGGGTGCAAATGTCGAAAATTGTATCAAAAGAATGCTGCTGAGGATGCGAAACCGAATATCGAATTTATAATGGCGCAGCTGATGGTGGGCGAAAGTTGTGGATGAAATGGCGAATTTCCAAAGTATGGTGACGTGTGTATATATAAATGGTAGCAATGCAGACTGCGTGCGTGGGAAATAGTCTCAAAAACCCTGCAGCCTCAGCCAGGCGAGGCCTAGACACCGGGATCACATGAGGTGCGCATATTCATCTATATCTCTCTTTTTTGTTACAGTCGAGACCGACTTGATCCAATCCACCATCTCCGTATCGGTTGCTGGGTACGCTCCGGAAACTCATCGGATGGCTTCTCCTCCATGATTAAGGGTTGGTGATGAGTAGGGCTTCGATCCTACCATCTGATCTGATGGTGATTAGCTCCATGATAATGGTGATAGGGGGATGTGTTGAGAGATCAATACGATACAGACGGCGAAAGCGATTGGGAATCCTCTTCGAAGTAAGGACTCTCTCTTTACGATTCACCTTATCTTCGTTGCAGTTTCCGAGATTATGGCTCAAAGCTATAGCGACCCGTCAGAAAATTGAACATACTTTTGATCTTGCCAAATGTATGCGTTATTTATTTCATAGTTGTGAATGATTATTCGCATTTATAACTTTACCAAATTCTATCTTACATACCTACCAGATTTGGTGGCACCGCCTAATATTAACGAGATACTTGAAATCTACTCTCTCCACTGCAATTTATTGGATAGGAAATTTTCTGGCGTTTTGGGGCATGCCAATTCTCTTCACAGCTACATCCGGTAGGATCTTTACAACGCTCACAACAAGGGTGATCATTATTTAAGTCCAAACTAGAAACTACATTATTTGCTTCAGAGATTGTCTGAACAGACTTCTCGTTACATTTGGTATAGGAGGTATTCTTCATATAATATACTCCAATGATTTCATATTCGAGGTTCATTATCAGAAAGTATCTGGTTGGGATATTGGACACTTTAACATTAGCAGAACCCATGAATGAAGATAGGACTGACATACTCTGGAAGTCTGCTTCTGAACTACGAAGATGCCAAATCCAGAATAACTTTTCACTCTCTATTTGATCTATTTTGGTCTGTCTAGGATATTTATTCTTTTTGAATTTGTTGGAATGACTATCAGCTTGTACATTCTTAATTGTGAACTGAATTTCCTTTATGTAGTAATCCGTGAAAGTTTGACCATGGCAGTCATAGCTTTTCTTGTTTTTATTGACCATGAGTTCATGGGCGCCGATGGAATCAAAAAAGTGAGCACGAGGCACAATGTTCATTGTTATGAATTGGCAAGTGTACGATAACTTTTTTGATCTATAAATCACCTGTATAGGATCACCCTTATTTTTGTGCCAGACAAAATAAATGAGACGGCGTTTTTTTCTATCTTCTAATAATTAGAACTAATATTTAAATTTAGCTTATGAAGGCTCCTACCATTAATTCCGTAGATTTCATCATTTTTCAATAAGGGCCATTCGAATAGGTCTTGACCCGCATTTGGTGATGAAACTCTGAATGGATATCTATGTGCATCGGGACCTCCTAGAATTACTTGCCAAGATGCTATGGCAGAGCTTCGGACATATGATTCTGTGAAAATTGTTCCCATACATCTGTAGCCCTTGTATTCCTTTAGGCCAGGGCTTATATTGTTAGCTTTTCCTTTTTCTGACAACTCAATGCAGTGTTCGTGGTTAGTTTCTCGGCGCATTACAACGCCATAGAACCTACACCTAACATCGAAGACAACACGGAAATTCCCAGCAAACCCTGTACCGATAATACTTAGCATCAATTATTTTAATTGCATACATACGGCTGAATATTTTTGGATGTCGAGTTTATTTCTCTGTAGAAAGCCCAAATTTGGTAGATATAACTTACTTATGTCAAAAGTATCTTGATTTCCCTTCAATGGCCATGAGAATAGAGTTTCGTGTATTCCGCTGTAAAGACGACTATCTTCCAACGTTGCTGGAAACTGCTTACTGGAATCACTGTTCCATAGCTCATTACAGCCACTCATATAAGAGCTCTGAACATTTTTGCTGGAGTAGTAACTATTGTCACAAACAAAACTGTTTGTTATTTTATCGAGATCTTCGGCTTGCATGGGTGTGAAAGTTGGTGTGCTGCAATCAAGACGTGAACAGGCGTTGAGTAGCACTACTACGTGGTAAAAATGTTGCTTTCTCATCTTAGAGAGTCCCGGGGTTACTTAGGATCAAGAGCTTCAAAGATCACATTGAGACGAACGGTTTTCCTCTGTGTGATTGTTCCTCGACATGCCAAGCCAATCTTAGTGATCCGTATATCTGTTGGCGTGAGTGACGTTAAATCTATCACTTGCGCCAAGTTCCAGATTACAGGGCTCGTTCTATCGCTCTTAGGTATCGTGGGATTGTCGTTACTGAGTCTGATAAACTACAAAGATTGAAGAGACTTTCCATTGTTAGGAGAGACGGAATATTTCAAGTTCCCAGCATCTTCTACAGCTGTGAATGACTGCAGTTAGTTGTATCGTGCCGCTGTGTAAGAAACATCATGCGACATAAGTCAGTTTGGTATGCCAAGTCACCATAATTTCCATGATAAAATCGAAAGAAATACGCTCTTGTTAGGATATGAAACTGCAACATATCAAGGCAATAACTATATTTTATTTAATGCAATTAAACAGGACCTTGTAATTGTTCTACGGTTGCAACGACTCTGGATCAAGTTATATTGTTAAGAACAAGAGAATTTATGACACATCATAACGGGATCCCGTCTCACTGAATACATATGAATCTAAAAACTACGTGATTGAAGGAGTATTAGAACTCTTATATCCAATATATCCGTAGCCAAACTTGAGTAAATTTGGTGGTACGTTACAAAATTGAATAAGCTGACGTGGAGTCAGTCAGTAAATTGAAGAATTAGGATTATTCATAGTCGACTAAGCATTCCTGTGCAAATAGACGTATTTAGTTTTACCCAGAGCACGACGATGTAACCTAATTTTATGCCTTGCAGTGCAAGACTTGGCAGCACTATCTATATCAGCGTTATCCACTAGCCTTTGGAGCACCTGACACGCCTAAAATTATCCAGTGTCCCTTTCCACCAGCTGTATCGCACCGGGATATTGGACTAACCAATCCATAAATTTAATCTTATACCTGTTGCAATCGATGCCTGAAGCTTAGTCAATCATTTTCGCTTCCATAAACGTTGCATACAGCTTGAAGGAACTTATATTACAAAGACTAAAATTCCAAAGTCTACTCTCAGACTACCATGATCAGTAAATTATTTGGGTCACGGAAAACTTTCCGCTAGAACTGTCACAAACTGTTGAACCGCCTAACTACTGGAAGAATAACTTTTCTAGAGAATTTGGAGCAGCTACAAACCTTGCAGCCTCGCAGTGGTACTTGCAAATGAAATCTGAGGCATGAGTGCTCTTCCTTTACGTTAAATCATCTATTCTGTACTTTTCTTTGATATTGTGTCATAGCTAGATAGCTACATACGCAATTAAAATCTGATGCAAAAAAAAAAAAAAAGATAGAGTACCGTGATTCCACGGTGTCAAGTTTGCAGTGGTGCTTTGGCAGGGGTTTTAGCGAATAAACTAAGACACCTTAGGCATAGTCACCTTCCATATTGGAGTTAGCCCCCGTATTTGTGCAAATTTTTGAAAAGTTTTGTATGGCAGTTTTTATCAGGACACCATAGTTTGTAGTGGGTCTTTCCCTCGTACTAAACCTAATTTGTATAATGATCGGCTGCATGACATTTGTGCAATTTTTGCTACTTGACTTTTTAACTTATTTACAAGAGTTCAAAGGTTTTCAAATTACAAATTAGAGCCAGTCTTATCCTAACCTTAGATCTGAACATGTGGCTGGAATATTTTCAGGCCTTAATTTCTGGTCGGTCCCCCATCCGCATCTACCACAGCCTGACATCTTGCTGCCATACTCTGAATGAGTCTCACAAGATCTTCGGAAGACACGGAATCCCATGCCTCCTTTACAATGTTGCGAAGATTATCTTGAGTTCGCTGCTTTCCGCAACCCAGATTCGGATGATGACGCTGGATGTGATCCCTCATCTTATTCCAAACAGCTTCAATCGGGTTAAGATCAGGCGAGTTGGCCGGCCAGAAAATCGGTTGAATGAGCCTCTGGCTCATATCTTCCATTGTAATTGCGTCTGTGTGGGCAGGAGCATTATCCTGCATTACGGAAAGCCAAGGTCTCATCGAGACCATGTCATCGACAAGAGGAACTATCTTCTCGCAATATTTTTGGGAGTTAATGGAACCCCATTCCTTCTCCCAAAACAAACAAGGGCCTTTTTCTGGCCCTGCGAAGCAACCCCAGAACATCCATCCGACCCTATTCTTCGATTTTTCTCCAAAACAATCAGCGTTGTATTCTTGGGAAGTCTAGCTCATAATGTTAGAGCATCAAATTACCATCTTCTTATTGAGAAATGTACGAACACTTCTTGTCACCCATTCTCTAGAATATCTTCCATCCTCTACCCAAGCTTCGTCTGTCCATAAAACTGAGGTCCAGTCTTCATGTGTCCAATTGAGATGAGCTTCGGCCCATTCTCTGCGTTTCTTCATAGTTTTCTGAGATACTGGAGGCTTTAGACGAGCCACATGTCGCTGATTTCCTCTTTTTTTGAAATTTTGTTTGTATTACTTGCTCGCTAACACCAAGATGTTTAAAGGGGCCAGAGGCGAGTTCCTGAAATGTTTTGCGGCGATTTCCAGGTGAAGACTCAACGTAAAATATAATCTGATCAACATCATCTGCTTTCAGCCTTGAGGATGTTCTTTTTCTCTTTTTGGGGGAGACAGTTCCGCGGCAATCTGCGTTTGGTTTTTGCCAGATTCATGAAACTCATAAATCTTAATTTTTCTTTTAATTTATATTTGTTCATATCTAATTTTTCTACTCACTAAAATATTTTGATCTCTAGATAATTGTTTAATTCGAGGTTTTGAAAGTGGGGTTTGAGGTGGATTCATCTGTAAAATGAGGTTGTTATCAAGTAAAGTCATGTGTCTTCTGAATAAATAACTTTGTATTTGTGAAATCTAATTATTATTGTAACTCAAGCACAAGGTTGTTTGGTTTTTTTTTTTTACTTTTGGTCCTAAGCTAACGCTATCTTTTCCACATTGGGTCAAGGACCGGTGGAGCCGGCAAGGATCACTGCGTACAGGCCCAACTCATTCCAACCGCATGAACTTCTACTGAAATTGTAGAAGTTAACAGCAAAACTAAAATCAAAAACATAAATCAAAAACTGAAATCAAATTTGGAAGAAATACTGTTTGGTCCGGATCCCGCGCTTCTCGCCCGTTCCCTTTCCCTTTCCTGCCACAACTTCCAGGTCACTTTTTCTTATCTCCGCTGAGAGCGAAAGACTGATTCGCAGATACCCTGAATTCAGCTGGTATCCTGCTATATATATTGAAGCTTTTTGTAGACTTCACCGAGGGTTGTTGTACCCTCAGACTTCTTCGGATCCCAGGATTCCGAAACCCGATCCCTCGGCCATCGAGACATCCTTCGTTGAGGTCATCGTTGCCTCTTCGGCCCTTTTGGCTGCAGCCCTAAATCGAGCCACTTTCGCGAACTCCCCTTGCTGGATCTGGCGGATCCGCGCGAGCTGCTCTTTTGTCACCGGTCCGGACTTGCTGGATCTGGCTAAGCAGGCCCGGGAATCCGATCGGTGAGGTCCCCCACAGTTTCGACACCGGGTGAGGGCTTTGCACTCTGATTCTGAGTGCATATTAGATCCGCAGTTCTAAGAAGCTGGAGCGCGGGAACAGCCACGGGTGGCGTGAAATTCAAGACACCGTTTGCATTGTTCGATTTTGCGACGAGGTCGGAAGAGCTTTGCAGCTCCAGAGTCGTCGAAAAGGCGGAATCCAGGTCGAGGAGCGGATTCTCGGGGAAATAGCGCTTGCCAATTTGAGTAGGGCGCCCCTGGTTTGCTAGTCCCATGAGGACGAACCAGAAAGGGAACCGACTGGGTCACTCGCGTGACTTCGTCGGCAACCATCTTTGCCGTCACGGCGATTAGGCCAGCAAGAGTTCGAATTGTCTCCGGGACGGTGGCAATTTGCATGGCAACCAGATTTGATGCTGGTTCCAGTTTGATTCTAGATTCGCTCAGTGATGTGGAGGAATCTAGGAGCTCTGTTCGAGCGAGTTCATCCTTTGCGGTTATTGCAAAGCCGGTCTTTACCCGCTGAACCAACGTGATATTGTTGGCAGCGGTTCCCAGCGCCAGAGACGCCACTAGCCTTACTCCAGCTGGAGAAAGGAGACGGTGGGGATGGAAATAGTCAAGGCGCAGAAAAAGTCGTGAATCGGCTTTTCCACTCGAGTTGGCACTTTTTGCTTTCTAGGCGGGCGGTGCTGCCTTTTTTGTCGATGGCCCAGCGCTACTGACTAGGCCTGCCCGAGCTACGGTGGCCCAAGTTGTCTTTGGGGCCGGAGCCTGGGTTTTCGTAGAGTTAGGTGCCCTAATTTCTGGAGCCCTCGGTGAGAGAGGGTTGGCGGGGCGGGCAGGAAGGACTGGTGGTGTGCTTCCTGGACCGGATTGAACGAACTGGCCAATAGCTGCTCGTAGGTAGACTTTTATACCGTCTACGAATTCTTTATTTTCGCCGATCGGAAGAGGCGAAAGTGCTGCTTCAACACTGTTTATCGCAGTCGAGCAGATGACGAGGCGGGCCGTAATTTGCGTCGTACGTCGCTTTTCGGCCTCCATCACGATCTGCAGCTCCGGAGGAAACTCCATAGCTGATGTCGATGCCGCGCCTTTTGAGGCTGGCACAGCATTTTTTCCGGCAGACGATTCTGCACGTTCGATCGTCCTTTCTCTGACGATCTCCTTTCCTTTCCTGGAACTGCTTGCCTCTAGGGCCAGCTCGGCGGGTTTCGCGGTCTGTTGACTGTTCGTTTCTGTTCTGATCGGATCAGAATCAGTCATCTCTTGGTCGGGAAGGGTGGAAAACTTCCCTGCGACAAAGGCCTCACTCGCAAACAAGCTTGATAATTTTTGCGCGAGGCCAGGAGGTTTTGAACACATGTGTGTCCGTTCAAAGCCGACAGAAATGGTCGACTTTGGTCGTTTGCTCTTCATCGGAGGCATTTTGGGACGCCTTTCGATGGT